ATTGGGAGCATGGGGAGGATTGGAGGTGATGGAGTGTTTGAGGGAGGTTTTGGGGAGCTCAGGGCATTTTGGGGGGGTCAGGGGGTTTTTGGGGGGGTTGGGGAGAGTAAGGGGGGCTGAGGAGATTTGGGGTGAGGGGGAACAGGGAAGATGGGGAGGGTTGGGAGTGATGGAGTGTTTGAGGGGTCAGGAGGTTTTGGGGGGGCTCAGAGGGTTGGAGGGGCTGGAGGGGGTTGGGAGAGCAAAGAGGGGCTGGGGGGATTTGGGGGGGCAGGGGGAACTGGGAGGATGGGGGGCAATGGGGTGTTTTGGGGTCAGGGGGTTTGGGAGATTCAGGGTTTTGGAGGGGTGAGGGATTTTGGGGGTCAAGGGGGTGTGGGGAAGCTCGGAGGCTGTGGGGAGGTTTAGGAGTGATGGGGATGTTTTGGGGGCACAGGGGAGTGTGGGGATGAGGGTGTTTGGGGAACAAGGGGGCTCAAAGGGGATGGGAAGGTTTGGGGATGACAGGAAGGTTTGGGGGTGATGGAGAAGGTTTGGGGTGCAGTGAAGGTTTGGAGGTCAAGGAGTTGGGAGGTTTGGGGTGTTGGGAATGTTTTGGGGTGCGATGAGGAGGGTTTGGGGTGCAATGAGGAGCTTTTGGGAGCACAGGGAGGTTTTGGGGAGGTGGGCAGGCTTGGAAGTGATGGGATGGATTAGAGGTGATGGGAATATTTTGGGGCACAATGAGGAGCTTTTGGGAGTGCGGGGAGGTTTTGGGATGTTGGAAAGGTTTGGAGGTGAGGGGGATGTTTTGGGACACAATGAGGAGGTTTTGGGGCGCAATGAGGAGCTTTTGGGGTGCAACGAGGAGGTTTTGGGAGTGCAGGGAGCTTTTGGGGTGATGGAACCATTTGGAGGTGAGGGAGTGGATTGGAGGTGATGGGGAAGTTTTGGGGCACACTGAGGAGGTTTTGGGTTGCAATGAGGGGCTTTTGGGAGTGCAGGGAGGTTTTGGGGATGGCAGGGAGGCTTGGAGGGGAATGGGGTGGATTGGAGGTGATGGGGATGTTTTGGGGTGCAGTGAGGACAGTTTGGGGGTTCAGGGCTGGTTTGGGGTGCAGTGTGGCTGGTTTGGGGTGCTGACCCCCCTCTCCCCCCAGGCAGCTGGATGGGGATGTGTTTGTGGAGCTGGACGTGGGCTCGGAGGGGAACGGGGACGAGGCCCAGCTGGGGGGGGTCCTGCGGGACCTCCTGGCCGGGGGCTCCATCGCCTCCTACGTCACCTCCCCCCACGGCTTCCAGTTCCGCCGCCTGGGCACTGGTGAGACTGGGAAAGGGGCTGGGGGGCACCCCGGGGGGGGTTGGGGTGCCCCAGAGGTGTCTGGGGGGGTCTATGGGGCAGAGGGGCTCGGAGCTCCCCGTCCCACCCACACCCCGGGGTCCCACGTACTGGGGTGCCTGGACACCCATCCCCAGTTTGGTTTGGGGGGGCTCAGGGCCTTTTAGGGTCCCCCAGAGGGGTTTTGGGGGGATCTGGGACCGGAGGGCTCAGAGCTCCCCATCCCACCCCACATCCCACCCCGGGGTCCCGCGTACCAACGTGTCTGGACTCCCCGCCCACTTTGGGGTGCTGGGTGGGTGTTTTGGGGTGTCCCCTGAGGGTGTGACCCCCCCCTGCCCGCAGTGACCCCCCAGCCCCGGGCCTGCACCCCGCTGGAGTTCCGCTGTGGCAGCGGGGAGTGCGTGGACAGGGAGTATCGCTGCGACCGCCGGCCCGACTGCCGCGACGGCTCCGACGAGGAGGGATGCGGTGAGACCCTGGCACCCCTGACCCCAGGGGGACCTACAGCCCCCCTGTACCCCCAGAACACCCTGTGCCCCCAGGGGCACCTACAGCCCCCCCTGTGCCCCCACAGCACCCTGTGCCCCCCTGTTACCCTACAACCCCTTCAGTGCCCTCAGAGCACCCTGTGCCCCCACGGTGCCCTACAGTCCCCTCTGTGCCCCCAGAGCACCCGCTGCCCCCAGGGTGCCCTACAGCCCTCCC